TACACACACACACACACACACACATACACACACAAACTGCATTTATTTATTTATCAGTACAAATACAACACAAATATAACAAAGGCAACAGTAAAAATATTGGGTTTCTGTCTGGATGGTCTCTTGTGACGAGCCGATGGACAGAGAGTGGAAGAAGTTAGCTTCCTCCCATAATTGGGGCTTACCAGGGGTTGTAAAAATCATATATATATATACATACATATATACATACACACACACACACACACACACATACACACACAAACTGCATTTATTTATTTATCAGCACAAATAAAACACAAAAGTAACAAAGGCAACAGTAAAAAAATTGGGTTTCTGTCTGGATGGTCTCTTATGACGAGCTGATGGACAGAGAGTGGAAGCAGTTAGCTTCCTCCCATAATTGGGGCTTACCAGGGGTTGTAAAAATCATATATATATATACATACACATACACACACATACACACACAGAGACACACACAGACACACACACACAGGATGAATCATTGTCATGCCATTTGTTCCAGCTCTCTATTGAGAATACAAGAGAAGCGGCAACTAGCTAATCTTGCTGGGGAGCTAGAAAGGGGATATTTATAGGCTCTGGAAATATATAATTCATCCTTTCTCCAATAGGCCCCAGGTTATTCTTGTTCCAAATTTTGGCTCTTTGGGGAAGATACATGTCAACCTCTCTCTTGTATTTGCTCATGCATCCCACCCAGGGGCAGACAGGGCCTTTTTGCTAATTAATTCTTCCAAATTAATGCCACTGACAAGGCAGTATAAAAAAAGAAATCTCCAGGACAACTGAGATGTGATGTTTGCCATATACAGTAAGTTGTCCTGGCATGCTTTAAAAAAGTGCTGGAGGAGAGAGAAAAAAGAGCTGATTATTATCATGAAAATAAGGGAAAAGACTGTTAATTTATTCCTTTCTTTCAGACAGATTCCTTTCTCCAAGCTGCCCTTGCTGTTTTGCAAGAGAAGATGTGCTTTCCATTATAAATTGTGCATTGGTGGAACCATTGTATCGACTAAAAGCCTTGTAGCCCTCATATCATGATCCCAATTCTATTTGCCATTTTCCCACTGATTTGGCTTTATTTATTTATGATTAAGGAAATCAATCTCTAGTTTTTATTATTTACATTTCTTCTGTTCAATGCCGTCTTAATATGTTTTATTTCGCTCTTAGTTAGATTCTTTAAAGGCAATCTTGAACTCCAGAACCACTGTGGATAACTTACATTAAAAAAGAACCGATAACAAACAGAAGAAACTCTGAATGTCCAGAAAAGACAAACTCCATATATTATCCCCTTCCCCAAAAAACCGTCAGAACAAAACAGTTGGGAAATGTGAGAATAAGGAGATTTTTAAGGACTTTAGGGTGGTGGATGATGCTTGGATATCAGGAGGATGCCGTTCCAAAGAATATGCACCACAACAGAGAAAGTTCTCTTTCTGGCTCACCACAGATGGCATTATTAGAAGGACATGAAAAACATGTAGCCTGGTGGAACTGTAGCACTTGGAGAAGCCTGCCTAGACTTGATGAAAAGGAAAGGAGATGATTGCGTTCTTAGTCAGTGCCCCTGCATTTCTATTGCTCAATGGAGTTTAGTAGAACTGTAGATGCTTCCAACATATGGACATGACCTCAACATAGATTCAATAGCGTCCCTTCAGAGCAAAGCTCTTCCTTGTAGTCTTTCTCCAATCTCTCTTCTTTCTTCGGCCAACTAGCCCTATCTCTTTCTCCTCCTGTCTGCACCAGCATTCAATGCCTTCGTTCATTGCAGATTACACCCACTGAAGAAGGTATGGCCAAATTGGTCCAGATTGTAAGCGCCTTGTCCCCGACATTTATCGTGTGGATGGGACCCTTCTTGCCAGTCTTCTCATTGGTTCATCCTGATTATATCAAGCAAGTCCTAACAGCATCAGGTACTGTGGTGGTGAGTGGTGAGGAAACTGGGAATAGATTGGGGGGAGGGTTTCCACAATTAATTGGCAAAGACTCTGTAGAGCCTTGTGGGCACTGACTGCGTGTCCAGGTTGGATTCACATTGCAAAAGACCTGGTTTATTTAAAGGTGGATGGAATCGCAAGTAGATAAAGCCATATAATTAGGCCATAAGCAAAGGTTGGCAATTCTCTGTAGCAGGGATCACTGAACCCAAAGCAAAGCCATGGACAGGCTCACTGCAGAGAGGCTCAGATTAGGAGCTCCACCCCAAGGCCAAATCTAGGCTTTGTGATTTCTCTAAGGATATAATACTTGGGGGGGGGGGGAAGCAGCTTGTCAAGGAAATTCAGCCTTTTGACCAATTTATTTGTATTGGATTTACCTATGTGTTAAGATTATTTATTTGAAGATGCTAAAATACAGGTTTTTAATGAAAAAAGTATTGGGAACCTTAATTTTAAGATTGTTGTGATTTTTTTTTCATAATTTGGATTTGTGTTAATCTGTCTACATACTATTAAAACACTCATTTCTGTAACATTTAACTGGGTGAAACAGCACATCATAGAGCCATAATTTTTGAACCAAGGGTCCTCAAATGGACTAGCTTACAGAAAGTATCCAAAATCCCAGGTCTCCCGTAGAACTGAAATTTGGCAAACTTTATAAAACATTTTATGATGTAAACATTATCATAAAGCAGTTTATGACATAGTGCAGATGTCATAAAACATTTCCTGTGGTTTAACTCCTGATGGTTGACTATGCTATGCAGCTCAACATGGGCTACTTTCAAGGGATAGTATGACGATTCCTGGGGTTGGATTGGAAGAGTTCTAAGAACTCAAGAATTCTATGGATTGAAATTGTTCCTTTATGACTGTTGATTTCAACTGGCATCACAATGGATTGTATTTGAGATCCCCCCCCCCGAAATATCCAATATTATAATATATAGCACATATATGATACACAGAATATTACTCAATATAAAATGTTTCATATATATTGTAAGCCACAAAACCACTCTGTAAAGTCAGGAATGCCCAACACTGATCCTAAAACCTCTCAATGTGCCACTAAATCACACATATCTCACATGTCTCTGATATGTTAAGTAAGTATGAAATACATAATAAACAAAGACGTGGAATCAATTACATTTTCATTTTAGTTAAATTGACATTGAAATACATTAAGCTATTGGTTTTCTTGATCTGCAACCACAGATCTTTGGAGTATTGATCCTACTTAAAAGCCAACGATGGCCTTCTCTCCAAACTCCTCATTCACTCCTTTTCTACTGCAAGCTGGGAGGCACCAGTCTAAGCTAATACACGTTTTCTGTGAATCCAACCAAGGAGGATCCAATTCATACCCGTAGTTGTGATACTATCATGGTTTTTGGCACGCACACCTCAGTTTCCCGATTGGCTGTTCCACAAGATGGGATGGCTTTAATTCCAATGTAGGAGTTGGACCTTCCTAGATGTTCTGGGTGGGAATTCTGGGTTTAATAGCCAAAATGAAGATTATGCTGGGAAGACTGATAAAAATCAATATTCATATGACATACAGTAAGTGAGTTTTTGGAATGTCTAGTAGAAATCCATTGTAATTTTTTTGGGATATTTCTACTTCTTTTTCCTTATGGGCCCTCTTTATCATTGCACACAGGGTTTTGTGGTAAATGAATTTTCATTTGATCTCTGTATGCTTATTAGGCTGTGACTGCAATCAATCACAATGACCCAGTAGTTGGTCCCAATCTACAAAGACTAAAAGCCTATAAGTGGAACTGCTGGGGAAGAAATGATTGGCTCAAGACACCCACAACTGCTCTGGACAGCAGCTCCTCATCAGGAGGCTGCGAGACTGGAGACCAGTTGATTTAGAGCAGTGGTTCCCAAACTTGGCAACTTTAAGACTTGTGGACTTCAACTCCCAGAATTCTCCAGCCAGCAGAGCTTGATATAAGTTGGAAATGATGGACCTGTAAATAATATCAACTGTATCGTTATTGCTTAATTCCTGCAGTGGCATTGCCCCAGGTTGACTAGCAAGGAAAGAGCTAATGATTGGTGAGGTACAAAGGGCAAGGCAATTGTCAGTCAAGTAATAAGGCAAATGTTTAAGAAAGATCACTTGCCTTTTAATTCTTACAGATTACAGATTAGAGCAGAGCTGGCTAGAGAATTCTGGGAGTTGAAGTCCACAAGTCTTAAAGTTGCCAAGTTTGGGAACCACTGATTTAAAGCTCTGGGAGACAAGAGCTAAACGAGAGTTGGGGCCTTTGAAAGGGTGCTGACTTCTGACACTTCTTTCGTTCACCACTTTCAGAATTTTTTTTTATAAACAGCAAAGCCTTTAAACTTTTATGTTAGAAAGTTGAAAACGGACTAAAGGTCCAGATAAATTGGAAATAAGGTTTTGAAATTAATTATAAAGAATCCTTCCGTGGGAAATTGCTTTTATTTTGAAATATTTTTTTTTTTAATAAGACTTTAAAAATTGGACACCGGGGCACTAGAAGAAGCTAACAATTAAAGGAGAGAAATCAAACTCAACTTACAAATGCAGGATGAAGCAAAGTATTTTAACGTTGGCTATATTGAGAGGGATTTGACTGTGTTGGCTTCTAACATCTCCTCTCTTGTATCAGATTGATGGCAGAATTTAAAAAAGGAAATTGAAACATATTCTAAACAAGAGCTTTAATGATGTTACACTCGAACAAAGCCTATATAAATAATGCAAAAAAAAATACATGGAGAAAATGCCCTCCAAGGAAATTTTCTTCCTTTCTTGATATAAGCTGGACATGACGGACCTATAAATAATATCAACTGTATCGTTATTGCTTAATTCCTGCAGTGGCATTGCCCCAGGCTGACTAGCCAAGGAAAGAGCTAATGATTNTTTGGCAGGAAACTCCCTTCCTCCACATGCGCAGTAAGATGGTCAGGTCAGCGTCTAGAAGCTTCCTCCAGCACATCATGATTCCCCTCCCAAATACCAGCCCCCCCTCCCCGTTTCAATGGCAGCCGAAGCAGCAGCAAACCAGAGGCTGACAGTTACCTTCCCACCAAAGTGGTCCCTATTTTTCTACTTGCATTTTTACATGCTTTTGAACTGCTAGATTGGCAGAAGCTGAGACAAGTAACGGGCGCTCACTCCGTTACGTGGCGCTAGGGATTCAAACCACCAAACTGCTGACCTTTCTAATCGACAAGCTCAGCGTCTTAGCCACTGAGCCACCGCGTCCCTTGGACAGTTACAGAATGTTTATTTCTGATGAATGTGAAAGGATTGCTTGTTTGAGAATTGCCCTTGTGGGGTTTTTTTCAGGCATGGTTTTTGTCACATTCCTAGAAACTAGATGATTAGAGGAAGGAATAAAGGTTTGGAGTTAACAATAGCCAGAAGGTGAGCACAGATCCATTCAATACATCAAGATAGGCTCAAGATCCAGAAGGCATTGGGTCCTATGGAACAAGTTTAGTGGTGAGAAAAGTGAAGTTCTTAGACAGGAAAAACAAAATATATTGATATAGAATAGATGGTATTTGGCTCAACGTATTAACTATGAGAGTGATCTAGGTGTTTTAATGGACCACCACATAAGTATGAATCAGTAGTGTGTTGCATCTGCCAAAAAAGCCAGTGCATCCTAGGATACATCAACAGAGGGATAGTGTCAAGACGATGAGATGTGATAGTACTACTTTACACGATGCTAGGGAGAACACACTTGGAATACTATATCCAGTTCTGATCTAAGGATGTTGAGGGTCTGGAGAATAAATGATGAACAGTGAAGGGACCTAGGTATGTCTCAATACAGGTATGTATTTAAGAGAAGGATCAAGGAAACATAACTCTTTTTCAATACGGGAAAGGATGTCAGAAAAAAGAGGGGTTTGACTTAATTCTCTAAGGCACCAGAGAGGAGGACAAGAAATAATGAGTGGAAACTTTTCAAAGAGAGATACAACTAAAAGTAAGGAGAATTGTTTTGACAGTAAGAGCAATTAATCAATAGAATTAGGCAGTGGTGGGATTCAAAAAAAATTACTACCGGTTCTGTGGGTGTGGCTTTGTGGGCGTAGCAGGGGAAGGATACTGCAAAATCCCCATTCCCTCCCCACCCCACTAACCTGCTTTCCAGCTCCGTTCTCCTGGTCAGTGCAACAAAAGATTAGCTGGGATGCAGTGGGGGCGGGGTCAGCCTATTTGCCAGTTCTCTGAACTACTCAAAATTTCTGCTACCGGTTCTTCAGAACTTGTCAGAACTGGCTGAAATACCGCTTCTGCTCCTGGAGTTGTGAGTGATCCATCACTGGAGGTTTTCAAAAATAGACAACCATTTGAGATTGGTATAAGACTCGTGTCTTAAACACACAGTGGGAATAGAAGGCTTCCAAGTTCCCTTGCAGGCCTATGATTCTCTGGTTCAAAAATAATCTGTTGTCTAGAGGTATAACAAAGGGAGAAACTGTGTATCAGAAGATAAAGAACTGTCAGTCTGAACTGGGATAGGGAAAGGTGTAATTTTTCATATATATTTTTCTATCACGTAGATACAAATAGCAATAGCAATAGCAGTTAGACTTATATACTGCTTCATAGGGCTTTCAGCCCTCTCTAAGCGGTTTACAGAGTCAGCATATTGCCCCCAACAATCTCATCTTGGAAGGATGGAAGGCTGAGTCAACCTTGAGCTGGTGAGATTTGAACCGCCAAACTGCAACTAACAGTCAGCTGAAGTAGCCTGCAGTGCTGCACTCTAACCACTGCGCCACCTTGGCTCTGCAAATGCAGAGGGGGACCTAGTTATGAATATACCTAAATAGAAATGTTTATACACAACTCTGTGGTTAAAAATATGCTGCATCATTGGCACAGTCATTTTGTAGGAAAACAAAGTCTTTCAATTGGATCTCATCTTAGTCTTCTGAAATCAGTGGAGGTACTGTAAGCACGACCTTTGTATTGTGCTTACTGATTTACAATTGCTGTCAACCAAGGGGATGATAAGTTGAAAGGTTCCTTGTGTTAGTTAATTATTAATATCAGGAATTGCTGGAAATACCGTCTCCTGGGCCTTTTATATCAGTCACTGTTGTTAATGCTCATACATCAAAAACTGAAAAACATTCAAACGAGATGCGGATGACAGCACAAATTATTTTTATTTAATTGATTATTTCTATTCCAACTTTTTATTTTTTATAAATACTCCAAGTGGTGAACATATCCAACACATCTTCCTCCTATTTTTCCCACAATAAAAACCCTGTGAGGTGAGTTGGTTTAAGAGAGGATGTCCCTCCAAAGCGGGACTTGAACTCAAGGTTTCTTGTTTTCAGGCCTCGTGTCTTAACCACTAGATCTATTATAAAACATAATTCTGTTTTATTGAAAACTGCTTATATAGTTTCCAGTCTAATCGTAATCTCTATACGGATCACATTGGTGTTTCTTATTTTATACCACCAGATGGAGCAATTATCATACTTGTGAAAATATTGTTACTGCAAACTGACTTGAAAGCCTCTTTTTATTTCAGCATTCAGTATACAGCTGTAAAAAATGTCTGTGGAGATTCTCAATCATCCAGGTCATGGTTTTCCCAAAGGTGCTTTTTCAAGAAGCAACTGGACTTTCTGGTTTTTCTTTGAAGACATTTTGCTTCTCATCCAAGAAGCTTCTGGAACATCTGAGGAAGCTTCTTGAATGAGAAGCAAAACCAGAAGTGGTATTCAGTCAGTTCTAACACATTCTGGAGAACAAGAAAGTTGAAATTTTGAGTAGTTCAGAGAACCGGCAAATACAGGGCACGACTTGGAGAGAGTGCTCCAGGAGAGGAGGGAACGGGAGGACCCAGAGTCCACCTCCATCGTACATGGAACCTCCTCAATAAGCACTGAGACTGAAATCTTTGCGTCAGCCAAAGCCTTGCTGACTGAGACGGTAGGGGTGTCGTGGTGCTTGTCAAGCGTTGTTGGCGGGTGGGGACCGGTCGGTAGTTAGTTTGAGGCATAGATGGTAAGGTAGCATGGCAGACATGAGCAAGGTGACCCTTCTTATTGCAGCAGCAGCAAGTAGCCGCTTTAAAAG